AGAAAAAAGAAGAAACCCAGAAATGGATGAAGTTCAAATACCTGAAGAGTCAGCTGAAACGAAACGATTTCTCTCACTCGGATCCTCCGCAGGAAGTTCCTGCAGAAGCTCACTGAAGCTAGGGATGAAGAACTGAGTTCAAAGGTGCGATCTTGCGTAACTCTTCAGCGGCGCAATAGATGCCTTCAGGGTTTGGATATATGGGAAAAAGAGAAGTAACGACGAACGAGAGTGGCCTGTTTCGTCGGGGAGGAAGTTGAAATTGACTGAGAGCATCTACGCTAAAGAATAACATAAAAATTTATTTTTGTGCCTTATTGTTAAAATAAATATTATTTTATATAAATTTATATTTTAAATATTTAATTTTTAAATAAAATACTTAACATAATGTTTTTTAACGCATATTTAAATAGAATTTTTTAAAGAATTATATTAATATAAATTTATTTAATTTGCTTAAAAAAATTAAGTTGATAAGAAAAAGGGGAAACCAAATGATCCAACGGTTGCGAAGTAAAGAAGAAAGAATGAATATAAAAAGCTGGAGCAAATTCCAAGAAGGCAAAAGAAAGAGGTTAAACGCTTAATTTTGATCTTTTTATTATCGTATAGATCTTTAAATTGATCTTTAAATTAAAAAAAAATTTATTTGATTTTTAAAAGTTTAAAATTTAGTTCTAAATTAATCTTTTCATTCAAGAATAGTTGACATGCTTCGTAATTGATGTAATATATGACCATTAAATAATAATTTTTTATAGTCAAATAATGAATATGTGAATTGTTTTTTAATAAAAGAACTAACTTGAAATTAAATTGAAAAATTTTAAGGACTAAATTAAGAACCTTTTTAATTTATGAACTAACTCACGAGTTCATTAACAGTTAAGGGACTAAATTAAGGATTTAACCAAAGAAAAAAAGAAAGATAAAGTTTCAATGGGTGTGTGCAGACAACCGTCCTTCGGAACAAAACTCGGAAGTAAGTTTGAATAGGTTAAAAGTTTTTTCTTCTACTTAAAAAAAGAAAAAAAAAAAACAATGAGCGAGAACTCTTAATGTATCTTGTAGTTGGGAAACAGGTCATCACAGGGACAAAGTCTTATGTAGCAAATAGCTTGTTAGCAGTATGCGGGGTATGCCTTTCTAAAGAAATCATTACAAATACTTTAAACATGACACATCAATTGAGTGAGTCAGACTAATAGAAATTTTAATTAAATGTAAATTCAGTTAACTCTAACATGGTTAACTTTCCTCAGTTCACCAGTTCACCACTTCGCCTTCCCTCTCCATCTCGATCTCCACTAGGGCGGGCAAGTGCCAAGGCGAAAGGTTTAATTGTTTCAGTGCTTATCTTGCTGATGAGATTCAGTTTGTCTATTGAATCATATTTCTATGATTTTCTTAATACCCTCTTGGTGTATTTGGTTTGCTAGAAATAAAATACATTTACAATGGTATTGACTATGAGTAGCAAGAAATGAGAAGCTTTTAGCTAATCCAACTTAAGTCCTTTAATTGTTTGTATTCATGATTAGTGCCTCCAGACTCAGAATGTGTTGAGGAGTTGGCCAACTAGGACACGTTATTGTTTTGGGAAGCACTTTGGTTGTTTGAATGAATGCTGTTCTGTTCTTTTGCTGTAGCTTTCTAACATGTTTGTTCTCCTACTGTACAAGTTCTCCTCCAAAGTAGAGTCTAGAATCAATCAACAGAGCTAACCAAAACCTATACAGTCTACACATCATTGCTCAAAAGATATAGAGCCATGAGAACTAGCCTCCAGGGTGCGCCAGAACAAGCAAGGCAGAAAAAGCATAATCATTTAGGTAATTCAACAAACAACTAATGGGCATTATCTAAATAAATGTGCCATATAATCACCAGCATCAATAAGATGCTCCATTAGCATGGTATAAGTGTGGCAATTAGGAGGAATCCCAAATTGAAGCATATCCTTGTATAAATCAGTGGCCTCCTTAACTCTTTTATAATCAAACGAAATCTCATGTAAGTCGTATAAGAAACAACAGTAGGCTCACACCCCTTGTCTCTCATTTTTAATGGTTGGTTTTCTTCTGGGTTGGTTTTCTGGGGTTGAATTGTTGGGATAAAAAACAAAAAAGTAAAGAGGATTTTACCTCTCTCCATCCATTAAAAATGGTTATCCAAATAAGAAAATGTAGCACCTCTCCCATCACTCTCCTTTTCTTCCCCTTTAAATCCCATGATCCAAACGCCCTATAAAAGTTTTGGGATTTTGATCCTCATGCATTTAAAATTTAAGTATCCTTATTCTCAAAAAAAGAAAAAAAAATCCTGAATTGCAAAACTTTGCAAATTAGAATCATTGTATAGAGGAATAGCCCTAATGCACAGTTTGCTATCGTATGCATTGCACACCACATAACACCTTTTTTCTGTTAAATTTTATGTTTTGTATAGCCTTCCCTTCAATTTGCAATGCTCCTTTGTCAATGACTTTAGTGTCAGTAATAGTTTTAATTGAACATCCATAGTCTCATTACTCTACATAATTTCAGCACAATGAACATCAAATTGAAACACTCACATATATGACAAGTTATAAAACTCCCTCTTTCTGACAAAAATAGAACCTTCCTATACAACTAATTTGCAACTCCAATTCATTATATTGCAACCAAAAGTTACACATGTTCACGATCAGCATCTTAAAAACACACCTGGATCGAAGAACTTAAATCAAAACTCACGGAAACTATAGCTGATAAAGATAAGGGCTACCTGCAGAGAGCGATTAGATTAATAATAAGATAAAAAGGGAAGAACACCTCAATAATTCAATTGTTTATAGAGTTTAGAGAGGGTCAAACCCAACAATGTGTAGAGTTGGCATTTCTTTACCTAGGGCATATAATTGACATTACATATGCAGCATCACCCAAATAATTCGTTCCAAGGGGAATCTGCAGCTGCTGATTGGGAAAGAGCTTCATTTATCTTCTGCAAAATCAATGATCTTGCCCCCTTTATTGCCTGGCTGCACTTATCAGCTTGTTTACCCAAGTCCTCAATGGTTTCCATGAACTCCTCCTTTCTCTTTTTTATATCATCAACCACAAGCTTCACAGCCTCTTGTTCTCTAAGTGCCAAATTAGCACCATCCAAAAGTGACTCGATCTTAGTTTCCATTTTTTTAACAAGTATCCATATGGTCTCCATGTCCTTAATTGTAATGTAACCAGTAAAACCCTTCATTGAAATAAGCAACCCCTGCCATTCCAATTTCTTCTCAGAACGATTTAAAAACCAGTTACACAATTTTTCCAGTGATTTACCAACAGGAAATGCCAAGGTACTTGCCACAGTTGTTATAACAGTTGGTGCTCTCATGGCAGCAGCAACCACCGATAAAATCACTGCAGAGACAAACAGGATAAAGAAAAAGTAATTAGACACCTTCCTCCATGTTTTCACAGTTTTTAGATTCTTATCCACCTCCCTCTTTTGCTGTAGCAATTTGTTTAACAACGGCACCTGCTGCCTACGCACAGACAAAAACCGCTCAACGAATTCCTCATCAAATGGCTCCTCAGCTGCTTTAAATTTGTTTAGTTCGTCCAATGTCCTCCTGAATATCCTTTCTTCTCCCCCAACCAGTACTTCTTCCTCAAAATTTTGAACTGCAAGCTGAATAATCTGTAGGTTCTTTCGAGCACGTTTCAAGCAATTCTCAAGGGCACCACAAAACTCTAATGCCTGTATGCTTTTCTCTAAATATTCCTTCACCAAAGATGACAATTCTTCATTGTTACATATATCCTCCTCGGACTCTATAATGAAGTTGATAACATCTGGGTTTATTTCAAGATGAATTCCAATAAGCTCTCCAACTGAGCGAAATGGGAACGCTGGAGTTTGAACCTCAACACCAGTGGCCTGTGTGTCGAGGGCTCGGCCGGTCCGAGCATGACTCATGTGGTCAAATGTTTGCAAGACTGGTGGCCGCGGTTCTAGTGTATCAATTTTGACTTGAACCGGTTCTGCCGCATCAATTTTGATTTGCAACAGAATGGAATTTTGGAATTTTGATATTTTAATACTACCAAGAAAAAAAATGGAGAAACCCAGAAATGGATGAAGTTTAAATACCTGAAGAGTCAGCTGAAACGAAACGATTTCTCTCACTCGGATCCTCCGCGGAAAGTGCAGAAGCTCAAATTGAAGCTAGAAATAAAGAACTGAGTTCAAAGGTGCGATCTTGCGAACTCCTCAATGGCGCAATAGATGCCTTTAGGGTTTGGATAAATGGGAAAAGGGAAATTAACGACGAACCAGAGTCGGTTGCTTTGTCGTGGCGCAAAGTTAATTGACTTACAGCATTTAGCTTAAATTCAATAAATAATTTATTAATTAAATGATTTCTTTTAATTTAATTTAAAAATATATATTTTAAATAATTTATTAACTATAAATTTTGTTTTAAAATAATCTACTTAACAAATATTCATTAATTAACAAATATTCATTAATTGCCTAATAAAATTCTTTTTGTTTGTTAAGTTGCTCTTAAACTTTTGAAAAATATTAAATTTAGTATAAATGTTTTTGTTTTTTGTAATATTTTATTTTTAAAGTTTAAATTTTATGTCAAATATAATA